TATGCCACGTGCGTGTGAGATTCTAGGCCGTGCTTCGTAAATATGTCTCTCTCTTATTCTAAGTATAAATGTACATTTTGTTCTTTTTTTCTCTCTAAAACTTCATCCTTGCTCACATGTTCAGGCCATGGTATTCTCAGTATCATTATGTAGAGCCACATTTCCGTAGCCTCAAGTTTTTCTTCATCTGTGAGGAGATTGTTCAATATTTCCTGGCATAGCAGAGGACTGATATTTCATGAGAGTTTAGTGTTGCCTAGCCACCTGGTGAGGATGGTCCCATCCCGTCCTCTCGTCGCCGGTGATCGCTATTTGGTTTTGGACTGCAATGAATGACATCAACATTATTAATGTTGACATGTACAAACTCTCTAGTGGGGGTCGTTCCTCCTCACTGGAGAGCCGTTTCAGTCACGAAAGAGAATACGCCTGCATTGCTTGACTGTTAAAAAACAATTCACTAAAACCTTTCTCATATTTCCTTTACCACGCTGGGTCAGCCAATCAAAATTGACTTCTAATATTATGATTTGTATTTGACCCAGAAGATCAACCTCCGGAAGTTGCAGCTGAGATACAATTCCCCCTAAAAATAATAGTTTGCTAAACTATTATTTAACATTAATACTCTTTTCCTTGGAGGCACGGTAGAGTAATGAATAGTGGTTCGGATTGAGGAATCGGAGAGTCGAGTTCGAATTCCAGTCGAATCCATTGCATTTACTTATTTGCTAATACCCTTAGGAAAGGTATGAATCCTCTTATCCCCCCCCCAACTATAGGGTAAATAGCAGGACAGACCAGGTTCTATAGCCTTGGATGGAAAGTGGCCTACAGCAGAAATAAATGGCAACCTACTGCGGAAAAAAACTGCCTCATCAGTCATGTATCGAAAGATAGATGATCGCCTAAGCATGTATCACGCATGGACTTATTCTTTTCTGTGTTTCTAACGAATTTTTCCTGTTTCATTATACTTTGCTTTGCTTTTGGTATGCATGTTTCTCTGTTGTAAAGTCCCTTCCGATTTCGTTGTCACATTTTCTGTCCTCTGTTGGAACATTTTCTAGATATTTAGATTTTTGTACTTGCTTGATTTTAGGCAATTCTTCTTTCTGGCAACCATACATTGTGTTTTCTTCGAATTTATGGTTAGTCCTTTCTTCTCGCTTTCTTTTACTGTTTATGTCGAAGTTCCTGCTGTTTTGTTTCTGGGCCTGCTATCAAAACTCTGTCATCTGCATACCTTATTTTTTCAAGATTGTGTCTACCAATAATAAATCCTGGTAAGACATCCAGTTCTCTCAGGAACGACTCGCGAATTGATTTCCATGACAAAGATTGTACATGTAAAACGGCAATACTGAAATATACTAAAAAACTGTTTAAAACATTTTCTGTTCTCCTTCATCAGAGCAAAAAAGTGTAGACAAAAATGTCTAAAATTATTGAACTCCAGAAAAATGTTATATGCCAAAATAGAAAATGAAAGGACGCCAATCATTCTTTCTGCTTACAGAAGGATGGCTGGCAGGCCTTAATATACACTGATTCCAAAACAAGTGATAAACGGTATTAGCTCTACTTAAAACTGAGAATATATCTGAGCTATAAAACCGGGCACCTGCTGAATAGATTAATTCAATTATTTTAAAACGAAATTGATAATTTTTGCACCTCGTTATATATGTGGTGTGGCATTAACACCTCCCACATATGTCTCCCAGAAATACACCCACATAATGGTGAGATGATTTTCTAAGAGTAGCTCAGATTTGGCACAAGGCCGAAAGTACGGAGCCCCCAGTGAGAATCGAACTAACTATTCAGTCGTAATTGATCTATCGAGACAAGTTTGCTAACCATTGCACCACGTCGAAGTTCTCACCCACATAATGGTATGACTTTAGTGGCAATGGTATCTTCATCTAGCTAATATCATACCATTATGTAGGCAGTATTTCGGGGAGGTACATGTGGGAGATATTTCTGCCGCACTTGGTATTATTTCTGTATTATTTCTATATTTTTCATTGTTGCGTCTCAATTTATGGCTGTAAAATCTTTGCATCCTGTTTTTTTTTATGTCGATCCCGAATAGTATTAATGCTGGTTAACATATACTAACACTGTAAATCATATTACTAATTAGTAAGAGTGAGACGAAGTGAAAAATAGGTTTTGGCAATTTTCTTTTTGTTTTTCAAAGATAAAGATAGAGTATACTACAAGTCTATTTCGTCCTTGAATTGAATAGGGCACCTCGAGGTGGTGTAATGGTTAGCAAACTTGAACAATTACGGCTGAGTAGTGAGTTCGATTCTCACTGGGTGCCCCCTAATTTCGGCCTTGTGCCACATCTAAGCTATGCTTAGAAAATCACCTGAGTCCGTCGCTCACTTTCTGAGCGACGGTTCGGTTCACCTCTCTGTCTACGGACGGAGAGGAAGCCGAGGGAGGCTACGCCGAAGGGCGGAGTCTCCTTCGGGGAGGTAAAACCGACCCTGAACCCGTTTATACGGGTTCAAATGGGCTATTTTTTGGATGATCCTAATGGCTCGGAAATGCCCACGTTAAAAAGGCCTTGTGCCACATGACGCCCTCGTGGGGGGGACGACTAAATATAGTCCTTGCATTGAATACTTTTTGCCATATCTGGTTTAGTGCCCCTGCCGTGCATCTCTAGTTTCTCAAAAAAGAATCCAAAGAAGGATTTGTGATGTAATCGGTTCTGAAATGGCTTCTCAACTTTCAACATTTTTTCACGGACGTGATGTTGCTTCCCTCTGTCTTTTCTACAAATATTTTCGTGGCAACTGCTTAGACGAGCTTTTTTTTTTCCTGTTTCCCCAACTATATGAATTTAAGCGTGCTACTAGATTGGCATCTAAGTGCCACTTATTTACAGGTTGAAATAGTTAAATGTAACCCCCATTTCTACTCCAACAGTTTCTTGTCTCGGAATTCCCGACATCGGAACTCACTTCCTCTCATTTGCTTCCCTAAAATCTTCAATAATTTATTGCTACGTCAATTGCCATCTTCTGTTATCTTGATCCCTGTCTTTTTTTTTTCCTTTCCTTAATCCCCCCATTTTTTTTTTCTCACTTAATCTAAGTAACCTCCTACGTGATAGTGGCACTCCTGCCTTGCTTGGGGTGAAATGCTTAAAAAAAATAAAAATAACGCTTTTCTATTGTAAACGTTTTACTCTAGAAATGAAGCGGGGAAAGGGATTATCATTGGTCAGGAATTAAAATATCGTATTGGAATTTGATTATTATATGCATAATTTAAAAGAATTGACTCTGTGACTTTTTTATTGTATCTCTGGAAATAGCTGCATTTGGACCAACGCAAAACATTCAACTCGTCTTCTATCAGTGCGCAAAATTTATATTTTTATGGAATATTTATTGCTTTACATTATGACTCTTGCGCTTTTTCTAATATCCCGATCACAAAGCTTTGATTAGTTGAAAGCCGGCCGCATGAATTTTATATGTGCGTCTATTTTAACCCCATATTTTCGACGTTAATATTTCAATGCCGCCTGCTACTTGACAGTATCATGGACTCTGACATTTGGACAATAAAAGGCGATAGAAATAATGTGTATATGTTGGTTACAGTCCATTGGTGTTAGTTCCGACAAGCATGAACTGGTTGGCACATGTTACACGACCCAAACGAGCATGCCTCTCATAAATGTTGTCTTAGTCTTAGGCAACTACAATTGTTCATGGTGAAACAGGGCCGGTCGACTTTTGCACGCGTATCCCAAGCGTAGATACATATCCTGAGGTCATTGTGTAAACGCCTGTTTACCGTCTTGTTCGTAAATTTAAGTCATGATGTATAAATGAACGAAGTCGTCCGTATATTCGTTCTTACCATCGAATGATTGTGTTTGTCTCGCCGGGAAAGCAAATACAAAACAAGCCCAGTTTGATGTGCGGTCTCACACAAATTTTTTTTTTTTATATATATATATCTCTTCTGGGCGTAGGGGATCATGTCTCTCCACAGCTCCCGTTTCCTTCTTATCTGTGAATTGTCATGGCTTCTTCGGAAAGATAATGGCATCGTTTCTCGTCGCGTTATTCCCATTCTTAATTCAAATTAGTTCTCCAGAATTAGTTATGTGTCACGCGCGATACACGCTTAGGCGATCTTTCGATACATGATTGACAAGGCAGATCTTTTCCCGCAGTAGGTTGCCATTTCTTTCTGCGGTAGACCAATTGCTATCCAAAGATATAGAACCCGGTCTGTCCTGCTATTTACCATAGCTGGTGGGGAGGGAGAAAAAGTGGATGATTCATACCTTTCCCAAGGGTATTAGTACGTAAGACAATTTAATGGATTTGACTGGAATTCGAACTCGGCTCTCCGATTCCTCAATCCGAGCCACTGTCCATTACTCCACCGTGTCTCCCAGTCTCCAGAATTAACTGACATTTAAAGTTAAAGAGCCTCGTCTAGCTTGTAATTAACCCATAGCTGGGACAAAGCAGGAGGTGGATTTACGCGATTTCTCAAAGAAATAGCCTAAAATGAAAGCAACTAACTATGTCGGGATTTGAACTCGTCTTAGCGATTCAAAATTTCGAGCCGATAACAGTTATATTAGACACATAAAAAAAGCCTAATCTTCTGTTGTTTTAATGAAGAATGAGGAGAAGTGTATTTATAATGTGAATCTTCATTCTTGACCGGACAGTCACTCCTGCCGGCTCAATATAGGCTGTAAACATGAGCACATGATCATCTCATGCTCTAGTGTCTCACTTCTACTAGTCAAACTCCTTCCCATGCGTCCCCGACGCGATCCTGGCACCACCGAATTGGATTGGGCGCGTGGATAAAGTGAATATTTCGGCGCTCTAACCGAATCAATGCTCGCATTGCACTATCCCAAAGTGTATAGACATGAGTCTGGTGACGGCTTGTGTATCCGAATTCCCACTGATACTTAGGCTATGAATTTGTACGTCCAAATGAATACGGCCTTTGGTACGGGGCCCGCGGAAACCGACGCGTACGCTGTCCGAGCTGTTTGGGACTCTTCGTTGGAACCGTAATTGTTTAGCTCTTACTGCCTGAATTGCATCCGACTGCCAAGCTTAGTCAACTTTCTTTCGCGATGCGGCAAGTTCGTTTGATGGAGCAGGTTCAACCGATCCCGGGTGAATGCAGCATCAGGAACTAAGTACGGGATGAAGAAAACGACTGATTCTAGCCTAAATGAAGAGGTGTCATTTTATTTATGTATATAGCCACCTCCAAGATAGTAGGTTTTACATAAGGTCAGAATAAACAGGGAATACTGCACGTTAACAAGCGAGTGATGCTAGATATTATCCAGTTATTTTGATATTTCCCTTCTCGGGCGCCTCCATCGTTAGAAATTGACCATGTTCCTCTCTTTAAATGCAATGGATCAGAAGCAATCGGTGATGGGGGTAGCACCCTCACTAGAATTTGACTTTGGTTAATTTCCGCCCCTGGTTTTAAAAATGGCACCAAAAGATGTTTAGAATATGTTTTAAAATTAAAATTGTTGTCTTTCTATTAATTTCTACTCTATGGTGATAGTTAGAATAGAAAACTCTTCATAATAAAACAATACTGTAAAATAAAACAAAAGTGTCGTGTGAACATCTACCGTGAAGCAATTGTTTGACATGCACTATTCTTATATTTAAGGCATGTCAATCACCACAGAAAATGTTTTCTGTCTACCATCAGGATGGCTGATGCTAAACTCCAGGAGAGTGATACTACACCTTACGGGCATCACGTTTTCCACTGACTTATCAGTGGAGAGACTATATCAAGTCAATTGCTACGTCTGCTGCGAGGAAGGTTGGTTCACTGTGTCGTGCCAAAAGAATTTTTCTTGTCAGAATCCATTTGGCTCATTTATAAATCTACCATTCGTCCGTGTATTGAATACTGTTGCCATATCTTGTCTGCTACTCCTACCGTGTATCTCGAGATTCTCGAGAAGGGTCTGCAATACAATCGGTCCTGACCCGGCATCTCGTATCCAGTCACTTTCTCATAGACGTGACGTCGATTCACTCTGACTGTCCTACCAATATTTTCATGGTAACTGATCGGATGAGCTATTTTTTATGGTGCCCCGATAACAGGAGTTGAAACGTGCTACTAGATTGGTAACTAGGCTTCACCGCTACTGTTGAACTAGTCAGATGTAACCGTTATTTCTACACTAACAGTTTCTTTTTTTTTTCTCATACTTCCCTCCTACGGAACTCCATTCCGATTTCTTGCTTCCCTGATAACTACTATCACCAAAAATTTAGATGCAATGTCAATCGCCATCTTCAGTCTTCTTCAAGCCTGTTGTTTTTTTCCCTTTCCTCAATCCTTCCCATTTTCAATATTCTCATTCACTTTCACTCCCTGTAAAACCCTGCGTTCTAGAGGCGCTGTCGCATTACCCGGGGTGAAATGATTAAAAAATATGCAGATTCCAAAGGGTTGATAGCAGATACAGAAAGGAAACAATCTTAGCAACATCAGTGATTTATAAATCTACCATTCGTCCGTGCATTGAATACTGTTACCATATATGGTCTGGTGCTCCTGTTGTACATCTCGAGATTCTTGACAAAATACAGAGAAAGGTCTATAATAAAATTGATCCTGACCAGGTTTGTATCGTTAGCACCTTTCCACGAAAATTTGAAACGAAAATTAGAGGAAACACGATATGACGAAACATCCGGTCATTTTTTTTTTATTATTTAATATCAGGAAAAATTAAATAATTTAGTGAAATCTATGTACGACATTGAGATTTTAATGGATAATATGATACAAGTTTTCGAAAAAGAATTTACATAGAGATGTCTGTAATACGGAGTCATATTATATTCAAGGATTTATTTCCTGTTTTTAACTTCAAAACCACGGAGTCATATTACTATTATACACAAGGTAAAACAGTAAGGTGTTTTGTAACATACAAAGCGAAAAATCTGTGTCTCTTTGATGTTCAATAACGAGTAGGGGCAAATTAAGTTCACCTTACAAACTAAATCATTATTGAAAAATAGATACATCTTCATCGGGTTCCCAACTAGTCTGGCTTTGTTCCAAATTATGCTGAGTAAATATGACTCTTGACCGTGGAGTAGTAATTAGAAATCTAACAATTAAATATTATTCTTGTTCTGGTTTCGAAATTAATTTTCTTCCCCGGATTTCCAAACAGCTAATTGTATTGGATATTTAATATATATTGTCAGAAATATTCAAAATGATTTGAAAATAGATTCACCTGGCGTCACGTGTGTCGCAGAGCGATGGTTAGCAAACTAGTATCGCTTGGAATCATCTTCCGAAATTGCGAATTTTCCTACCGTCGCCAGTAGTCGGTGTACGAATGGCGTTGAAAGCCTGAATTGAAATTCAAGGTAGGCAGCAACGAAGGAAAAAAAACTCTCCTGGAAGGGTGTTAAAAATTATTTTCCGTCCTTAAATATGTCCTTGTGTTTGAACAATCGAAGCGTAAAATTTACGAGGGGACGAATATTTAGTCAAATGGTCAGATTGTATGAAATGGGTGCTCTCAAGTAATTTTCAGTGCATCCTTCTTTATTTCTGTTTGCCTACGCGCTTAAGTTTAACGAAAGTGAAAATAATGAAATAATTGGACCATTACTGATCTTAAAATGGTAGCTATCTTTTACTCTGGTTCACCCCTCACCCGAACTACCGCCAGTCACGATGAACGGATGTTCCCTCGAGGAGTGTCTCGAGATGATATTGGGTCTTAAATAAACACCTGCGTGATTAAAGTAACACCTGAATTCAAGTGGAATTCTTATATACAATCCATCACTAAAGATGCAGGTAAAATAATTGGCTCTCTGTACCGCTCTAGTAAGTACCTGATTGGGTGATATTATTTTTCACACATAAATTGCCATGAATTAAATAAGATGATCCAATAGAGAAATAAATAAATTTTCACCAATAACACTGATTTATTTACTGCTGATTTGATCCGTCTTAATGAAACACCCTTTATTTACCGAAGCATTTGCGATCTACCGTAAATGACGATTGCTGGAAAATGCTCAGGAAAAACTATGACTGTTTTGTTTCATGACATCAAATCAGTTTTTCAGTTTTTTTCTATAAAAATGATTTTTAATACATAACCAATTCCCTGTTCACTGCCTTTAAGATTTAGATTTTATAACCCTAGCTCCTAACCATAACCCCTAACACTAACCTTAACATATTTCATACTTCCAACAATTGGTAAATATCATACCATTGTAGAAAATTGAATAATATATATCATACTATAGTAGCACCATATTTTCAGATTGTTTTTAGGAAATAATGATGGTTTAGTGATGTAAGTCTTACTAATTAACCCATAGCTGGGAGGAGAAGAGATTCATTTCCCAAGCGTTAGTGAATCTAACGAAACTAACTTGAATTGGAACTCGGCTCTCCGATTAACAATTCAGAGCCATTATACATCACCCTGCCCGCATATCTAAACTTACAGTACCTGGTAATCCGAAGTGGTCACCCATCTAGGTACTGACAAAGCTTGACGCTGCTTAACCTCGGTGATCATACAGGGACCAGTGTTTCATTCGTGTTGTAGTCGTAAACCTTGAGTGCAGAAATTAGTGATAAGAGTAGACTTTGTTGGCATTAGAAGTCTCTTTTTAGAACTGTCTAAAGAATATAAGGACGCTACATAATCCTCTGTACACGGAGAAAAGTACGCGTGCACCTAAGGATACATTGATTTTCCTCGCTTCTTTACAAGGACATTAAGTCACACTGTTGAATCAGTTTTATTAATATGAGTAATAAGTCTGTACACGTCGGGAACTGACAATTAATGCTGTTTATTACATGAAGTCATGCTTACGGGGCATCAAGTGTCAGTGAATAAAATAGGAGAAATATACACCCACACATAGAAATAGAAAAGTGGGTTGAGGTGGCTACCGTAGCGCAACGGTTAGTAAAATAATTTTGCTGGCCAGTTCTCTAGTTAATCTGTGAGAAAGGCTTGCGTTAATTCCTGGTCATTGACAGTTCTTTGTTTTCTCTGAATTTTCGTTACATTTCTATAGTAATCTAAATTTCATCGTTTTTTTTTTCTATAGTAAAATTTTTCATGTCATAAAAACAGGAATATAGAAGAAACGACAAATACTATAGTTGGTGATACGAAAAACAAACAAAAAAAATCAAGAGAAAAAGAAAAAGAAAAACACTATAGAAAGAGTTAACCAGACATCGCTCCTCACTTACCTGAACTCGATCGGAAAATATTTTAATCTTTCCTACCCAGTTCTATAGTAATTTGTTCACTTTTCATTTTTTTTTCTTCTTTTCGCATTGCCAACGATGCTGACGATACTGTTGACCGACGGTGTTTTGGACAAAATGAAAGCAAAAAGAGAACTAATTAACATCAGGAAGAAAGCAAAATGAGAACTAATTAACATCAGGAAGAGACAGTTGAGGTTTCTGGGGCATAGAATGAGGAAAGAAGGTTTGGAATATTTGATACTCACAGGATTGATTGAGTGACAAAGAAAAACAACGCATAACATACTAAGTGAGCTTGAGTAAATGAATGGCAGAACAGTGCTTAGGAGAAATAACAGAAAGGTTATTAAGAGCTTCAAGGGACAGGAAGTTGTGGAGAGCCATGATCGCCTACATCCTGAGGAGAAACATAAAAGAAGAACTTTTGTAGTTGTATTTTTCTTTGCTCTCTTTTATAATAGCAGTTTTTATTACATTAATTAACTTTTTGTGTTGAGGGATGACACGGGAAGAACACTACAAGACTTCCTTGACAGCGTAGTAAAAGTGTTATAGTGAAACACACCTATTCTATTGTTAATAGATTCTCCTACCTATAATACTTAAGATTAGTAGCAGTCGCTCAGAGAAGGGCTCAGTGAGTTGGTCAGTCAGTCGATGTCGGACAACCGTTAGTCGGATATTAAAGTATCAGCCACCACAACTAGATTGCTGCGTCATTACCTATTATATCAAGTTCCTAACACTTTGTACGTCGAACCTATTTTAGAACCGACTTAGTGAAATACAAGCCTCCACTGTGAAACTACTCTATAACAAAAAGAAGACGCGAAAAAAAAAAAAAAAAAGAACTAAACTTTAGAAGTATGGAAGTATAATAAGAGAAAAAGCCCAAGATGTGAGTTACAAATCGGAGAGATTAACATCAAGCAAGTACAAACGTTTAAACATCTCGAAAATGTTTTAGCTGAGGAAGGAAACCAAAATCAGAAAATGCATTGGACTAGAGAAAGAGAGCAGTCCAAATGTTAACATCATCAGAAACAAAGAAAAAATGCTAGATTGCTATTCAATATCCATCCTCTTATATGGCAGTGAATTCTCGATATTTTCCCATGTGGTTCTACAGAAGGATACTGAAAATTATATGGACGGAGCAAGCGAGTGAATAAGCAGAGAGAGGGTGTTGAAGTAAATGGTATCAAAACGGACAGATGCTCAGAATCGGGAAAAAACAGCTGAAATTTCTTGGACACATAATGAGGAAGGAGGGCACGGAAAATTTAACCCTCAAGGTGTACTGAGGCCAGGAGAGATAAAGGAAGGTAGCCAGTCACTTACCCGACGAGCATGTGTTAATGGATGGCTGAATAATTGTCAGGAGACTTAGTAAAGGGAGATAAACTGGTAAAGGCCGAAAGGGATAAATTTCGGAGAGCCATGTTTCGCCCATGTCCTGAAGAAGAAGAAGAAGAAGAAGAAGAAGAAGAAGAGTGTTAAAATTATTCGCTTTTTATTTCTGCAATAGATTTATGCTAATGGATAATTATTGAACAGGGTGTCTACAAAAAAAAAACTGGCATCATTTAAATGTGAATATCTGAGTAACTACATGTGCCAGGCAAACGAAATTAAAAAAAAAGGCTTTATATTGAATAATAAAAGATTTATTTATCAAAATTTTAACAGTCTATTCAAAGGAATATAGATTTTCTAACCGATTTCATAAAGCTACACAACTGCTCAATATGCCCCGCACCTGTGACACAACTTGTGTCAAGTCGGTAGTGCAGTCAGGCGTTTCAAGGGGCAACATACACAATTCTGTATTTTAAAATATTTTACAATCTATCTATCTATCTATCTATCTATCTATGTGTGTGTGTGTGTGTTTGTGTGTGTGGTGTGTGTATTATATACAGGGTGTCGCCCCAAAATTGACATCATTTAAAATGTGAATATCTGAGTAACTATATGTCCCAGGTAAACAAACTTAAATAGGCCGCATGTTGAATAATAAATACTTATTGATGAAAATTTGAACAAGATATTCAAAAGGATTGAGATTTTATAACCGATTTGACAAAGCTTCACAAATGTTCACTATGCGCACCACCTGTGACACGACACACATTAAGTCGCTAGTCCAGCGCCTGCCAAACACGTTGTAGCATGTCTCCAGCGCCTCACTGATGATCTGCTTCAGTCCCCCGGTGCTTGTAGGAAGTGGAATGGATATAGACTCTGCCTTTAACTTAGCCCCATAGTAAAATAACACAAGGTGAACGTGGTGGCCATTTCAACAGCACATTGTCGTTATCACAGACACGCCCGATTCATCTTTCTGGTCGATTTTCATTGAGATATCTCAGCTTAGTCCACTTAGCTTTTAAACCTAGAATGCAAATTATACGTCGGGGATACTAAAATGAAGCAGGTACAGAAATTTAAATATCTGGGAAGTGTTCTAACAGAGGACGGATAGTGCGACACTGAGATCCGAAGATGTATTGGGATGGCCGAAGATGCCTTCCAAAAGCTAAGCAGAGTATTAACAGACAGGAAAATTTCGTTGGAAACAAAGAAAAGAGTACTGAACTGTTACGTGATTTCTGTCCTCCTGTATGGCAATCTCCTCAAAGATGAAGAAGAGACTTGGAGCAACCAAAATGTTCAGAAAGATGCTGAGGATACGTTGGGCCTAACATGTGAGCAACAACGAGGTTTTGGAGAGAATGGAAACTAAAAATAAACTTATACTTAACATCACAAAGAGGCAGTTGAAATTTATGGGACATGTGATGAGGAAGGAGGGCTAGGAAAATCTGATGCCCACAGGACAGATTGATAGAAAGAGGGACAGAAGAAGCGTTACATACATGATGGGATTGAGCAATTGGATGGCGGAAGAGGGTTTGGGAGAAATAAGAAAAAGACATAACTTATTAAGAGCTGGAAGGGTCGGGAAGATATGGAGGGCCATGATAGCCTACATCTTGATGGGACACGGCACATGAAAGAAAATTAGATTACAAAATGATGTCAGTTTTGGGTGTGGGATACTCTGTGTTAATTATATACGTAAGTTTCAGAATTTTCTTCTTGAAAAACTTGGGATTTTTATATATATATATATATATATATATATATATATATATATATATATAATAACCTTATTCAGTCAGATAATTATTCCTGATCGATGACAATCTTTTTTCATCAGTTTACATTGAAACGCAAAAATATTTACAAAGACGGATTACTATAGTAAATCGTCCCTACAAATTAAAATTATATATATATATATATATATATATATATATATATATATATATATATATATATATATATACAGACATGACAGAATTGAATAGACGCTCACAGAAACCGTTTATTTTATTAAACAAGTAATTTATACAAATGAAGTAATTATAATACTTGGTTGACACCCCTTTTGCTTTTGTTTTTTTAATGCAAGGACCCTTCTAGGCATGCTAGCGATGAGTTCACGAATATCATCTTGAGGGATTTCTTGCCATGTTTGTCGCAATAATCCTAAAATTTCGGCTTAGAAAATGGCTTCCTGTTCTTTTTGCGGAATTTTTCGATTTAATATGCCCCAAAGATCTTCAATAGGGTTAATATCCGGGGACTGACTTGGCCATGGAAGTTTATTGATCCCATTTTGTCTCAACCAATGTTGCGTTGCTTGAGCAGTGTGACATGGAGTTCCATCTTCCATAAATAGGGAGTCAACTTTGCTCATTTTACTACTTGAGAATATTGGAAGGAGCCCTTTCTTTAATATAGAAACATATTTGGTTGAATTAATGTTTCCTTCACACTCCACAAGCTCTGAGCGACCATCACCTTATATTGCACCCCATACCATTACTGAAAGGCCCCCATGTTTCACCGTTGGCTGCTGTCTTTTTTGTCTTGACTACAGAGTCTCCATACCCATACTCTTCCACTGTCGGAAAATAATGCGAATTTTGACCCATCAGAGAAAATGACTGTGGTTCAAAAAGTCACAGGTCTCTCCACCATCTCATGAGCCCAATCCTTTCTGCGTTTGATATTGGCTGGACGGAGAAGTGGTTTCCTTCTTGCAGCTCTGCCATAGTAGCCCAGCTTGTGAAGATACCTGACAGCTGTTCTGGGACTGACATCAACTTGTGTTGCTATGTCAGAGGACTTGCAACGTGGATCCTGTTCAACATTTCTTTCGACAAGACGCATGGTTCTTTCAGAGGGCCCATGGCGGCCTGGATGAGGTTTTGTGCACTTCTTGCCCTCTCTGGTGAATTGTACGATCACTCTATTAACAGTAGAAAGGGGTATTGAAAGATTTTCAGATATTTTTCTTTGACTAAGACCACCTTCATGTTGGCCCACAATACGTCCTCGCTGAAATTCGGATAGGTCTGATGCTCCTTTGTTTCGTGGCATGTTCCAGTATTGTTATCTGCAATTTTAATCAAATAATCTAAGTTAATTTATATTGGTTATTTAAAAAAAAATCTAAGTTAATTTATCTTGGTTATTAAAAAAATCAGAAATAAAATTTATCTTGGTGTCTATTCAATTCTGTCATGTCTGTCTGTATATATATATATATATATATATATATATATATATATATATATATATATAATTATTATTTAAAAAAAAATTATAACATAAGTATGTTATAAAATCACTACAAAAATAGCCATTTTGTTTCAACACTCAGTGTCTTATCAAGTGATGATGTTGAAGATGTGCTTTATATATATATATATATATATATATATATATATATATATATATATATATATTCTGTTTAAAATTATTGCATTACTTCTTGACCCATGGTAATTCCTTTCTGTTCATCTGAAATTAATTCCTATAGGAAAATAAATTACAAAAATTCTATAACAAATTTCTGCTTCTAAATAATAATTGTAATTGTCACTAACAATTATATTAATTACTGATTATCAGCTATAATTTTTTTCTAATCATTTTACCTCAAGCAAGGCAATAAAGCCACTAAAACGCAAGGAGTTACATAGTGTTTCAGAATATGAGAAAAATACTATTAAGGCGAGAGTACAATAAAAGAACAAGAGTTAAGAAGACAGAAGATAACGATTGATATTTGCATTTAAATTTTTGAAGATCAATGTTAACTGCGAACATGAAGCCTGAAGAGGGTTTCACAAGCAAGCAGTGCGAGAAAAGAAACTGTTACCACAGAACTTACGGTCACATCTAGCCATTTCAACGATAAAAGGATAAGACCTTGTCGCCAATCTGGTACTACAGTTAAATTCATAAAATTTAGGTACCAAAGAGGAACTTTCATTAGAACAGTTAAAATGAAAGTATTTATGGAAAAATCGCAAAGAGGCTACATTACGGGGCTAAGAAAGGGACTGAAGTCGTGATGCTAGCTCAGTACCAATAACATAGCAGATTCTTCTTTATATTTTATCAAGAGTCTATATAGCAGCAGTGCCAGACCATACGTGGCAGCAATATGATATTTAAAATAAGGACGAATGGTAAACTTATAAATGTGTTAGATACATTCTAGTGAGAAACATTCTAATTTATTATTAATTTCTATAGTAAAATAATTATCCGTAATACATTTATACAGTAAGATAATTTACAATACATTTCAACAAAAAAAAAAAACACTGCTACAAAATAACATATTATAGACCTATTTGGCAATAGAAATTGTATTAATTTCCGGCAAATGACAATAGGTACTTCGACAATATTTAAACTTCGTGCCCATAAGAAACGGTGTAAGAAAAGGACAGTTATTCCTTTAACACCGCTATTAGTGTATACACGTTTAACTCGGTAATGCTTATTTACAAGATTATAAAAATATGATTACCAAGTACAATGCGATATTTATTATTTACCTTTTATATAAAAAATATTATTTACCATTTTATAAAGAAATAAATCTGAAAAGAAATCTTTTTATTAAAAAATTTTATAAAAATGACGAAATTATCAAAATATGCAAACCAGTTACAATGCAATATTTGCGGTAAAAATTACAGACATTCTGTAATTATACACAAAGAAAATATTGCCCACATAATAAATAGGGAGATACAAGCTCAAAATATTTTGACTGTTCGTAGTCTTGCCTGACATCTAAAATTAAAATAATTTTTGATTCAGAAAAAGCAATGCTCTCAACTGATTTTAGTGAATTTATGTGGCGCGAAATACCAGGAAAATGTTGTTTTTTGCAAAATTGATAGTTTCCATTACTCGTCGTTATGTGGGTATTAAAATTTTCATGTTCATAGGTACTTTTATGAATTAAACAAATTATTTTCATATTTATTTCTTCAGAAAATGGTTATTAATAAATTCATTATAGTTGGTTCACATATTTTATAATATCCTAAATATAAAATTATTCTTGTAAGTAAACAACCTAATAAATAAATGTGTTTAACATCTTTGTTGTCATTTCTCAAGAAAAAGAAAATGCATAAATCCACTTTCATATGTTTGGCTTTTATTAAAATTCTAATCATCGCTTGTTGAAATAATAAACATGGTCAGACTAGTCAAAAATGTGTACAGTAATAGCGGCGTTAAGGGAATAACCGCCCTTATTAGATACTGTTTTTTTGCGAGGGGGGCAGGTCGATTAAAAATTGCGGGTACTTCATTGTTTGTACTGTTTTTATGTAGTGAAACAAAATCCTTGTATATATATATGTGTCATAATTTGTAAACAAGATTCTAATCATACATATTTTGCTCAAGATGAAATTTACATATTTTGTATATTTTATATCTGTTGTAACCTAGAGAAGGTTACTGAATAGAATGATCACACGCAGGTTGGTAATAAACGATAATACTTAGGACAAGAACAACACATATAAGATTCACCAGTGGCGCGTAGAAGTAGTCAACTGCTTGAAGTGGGTCAAGTGAATTCCACAATGAATCTCCAACTGCTTTATATCTACCAACCGCGCCACGCGGTCAGATGTGGTACAAGGCCGAATTTAATGTCGGGTTTCCGAGCCCGCAGGCTCGGCCAAAATTTTCTCGTAGACCCTGTATAAAACGGGGTCGGGTAGACGAGACTCTGCCTTTCAACATAACCTCATCTGAGGATCCTCCCTGCTCGGAGGCAGAGAGTTTGACCAGCACATCTGGAAACGAATCTCGAACTGCAGACCAACATTCAGTATTTACTACTGTATTTATGTGAACGGGGACGTGCCCATTATCGTCCGTAGGTTCACTGCAATAATATCAAACATTTTTTAATCCTTTCACCTCAAGGCGAAAAGGCCACTAAGACGCAGTGGATTACTGAGAATAAAATAAAATAAGAAGACAATAGGCAGGAGAAATGATAATAAAAGAACCTCATAAGGAAAATAGAAGATGGCGATTGATGTTGCATTTAAATCTTTGAGAATCGTGGGTGGGAGAGAAGAAAGCGTACGACTAGATTGGCAACTGGATCTCACCGTTTTACTTTTGGAATAGCTAGATGTAACCGCAAGTGATATTCTAATGGTTTCTTCTCTCGTGTTTCTTGGTTGCGGAAACATTGAATCCAGTTTTTAATCAAAGAATTTTTCCTAAGTACCAGACATATTTAGTTTTGGGCTTACGCGATCGGGAAGTTAGTGGTACCAAAAGAAAACGTATGATCGCAATTTAAACGAACGGGTCCGATTCGAGCACCAAGTCGCCAGAGACGGACTTTCGGCGAAGTATCGATCACTGACGTGAGCGCTTCGACGGTCGGAGCATTCTCTACAGGAACTGCCGTCGGCAAACGACAAGTTATCGACAAGCACTGGACTAGACAAAAGTATCAGACAACAATTATAGATTTCTTTTTTTTTTTTTAACGTGAGGTTCACCCTGCACAAGGCCTGAGAAACACTCGAGGTAAACGGGTATAGAATAAGAGGCAAGGTTTATGTGGATAGGAGAGGAACATAACGGTTAATCTTAGAATTGAACAGGTTAAGATTGTAGTGATCGGGAAAACATCCTTTTGGGAGTCGGTTCCACAGAGCACAGGTTCGCGGGAAGAAACTGTTTGGCGGGAACTCACTTCTCACCAATGGAATACCAGTCTTAGAAAATGAAAGTAAATGCCTAACGAATTCATGATGGTCGAACTTATCTACACTAAGCTTAGAAAAGCACCGTAGTAAGTGCCGAAACGGTTGTCAAATATAAAAGATATGAGGAAATAAAGTGACTAATAACGATGAAAAGGAATTACCACTCATATAATCACAAAGAGAGCGTAATATTTGTTCAAAAGAAAAACTAAACAAAGAAGGGACATTTACAAAGATAAAATCTATTTTCTTTTTACCACGAAATAGGTGGCCTTTGTTAATAATGGCCTACAGAATTTTATTCAGGATTCATTAGTGTTTAGTTATCTAGTCACGTGATTGGCTAATATCACTTGATTATCTCTTTATCTATCTATCTATCTATCTATCTATCTATCTATCGCAGTGTACTCATTATCTATCTATCTATCTATCTATCTATCTATCTATCTATCTATCTATCTATCTATCTATCGCAGTGTACTCATTATCTATCTATCTATCTATCTATCTATCTATCTATCTATCTATCTATCGTCCTTTAGTTGTTTCGTTGGTACGAACACACCGGCCTGAATATTTTTCTTTAATAAGATTTCTCGAATATCCAGGCCGGCAAACGACAATACATATACTGGTTAAAAAAAAAAATATTGAAAAATAAAAATAAAGAACGGAGCTATCTGCTCAAACATGATTAGCCGCTAACAACAACATTTACGTGATAATATATACACTGTACTTCAAAAGACAGCCCCAGAATTATTTTGGGATGAACTTGACAGAAGAATGAAAAAAAAAAAAAAAAAAAAAAAAAAGAAAGAAAAAGAACTCTTTGAGTCATTGAAAAAAAAAGATATCAAGTATCAAGCTTAAACTTGGAGAAACTTTTGCAACGAATATCAAAAATTTGTGTTGCAGTAATCAACGTTAAAGGAAGTTATTTTATGAAAGTAATATATATATATATATATATATATATATATAGTAAAAGAGAAAGAGAGAGAGAGAGAGAAAGAGAGAGAGAGAGAGAGAGAGAGAGAGAGAGAGATGTAAAACCGAAATATTCTCAGTTTCTCAGTTAAACCAAGAAGTAATTATAAAATAATTTATGATGCTTGGTTAAATTTTTGAAAGTGTTTCGGGCTGTGAAATTTTCAACATCATGTATATATAAATATATATATATATGTATATGTGTGTGTGTGTGTGTGTCTGTGTGTGTGTGTGTGTGTGTGTAGTGTGCGTGCCCGCGCGCAAATATAACCACGGATCGGTGCGTACTTTACACAATGTCCTTTTCTAATCAAACTCTTTATCAGTCTTCACTTTTACTGGAACGGCAATCACATCTGAAACAAATAACGATAATCAGTAACAACAACAATGACCGCACTTTGTAAAACGTAATCAAATATTATCAATAATTGCCAAGTGATCTCCTGTCTAACCAGTCGAGACTGCTTTCAACAATCGTTTCTTTCTTTTTTTGCCTTTTTTTTCCCGCTGTGAACAGCTCCGACAACAAAATGGCCAAGGTCGCAAAGCTTTCATTTTTAATGAAGAGACTTTCTAGATTTTTATTTTATGAATTTTTTTTTGTTTTTGTTTTGTTTTTTTTTTTGTCATCGTTTTGTTCTTTTAATCTTTTGCTTTTCAATACAAAGGATGGAAATAAATGTATTTTATTTGTAAAACGAAACGGGTTGGTGTGAGTTGAGGACCATCTAACTACACAATAACGCAACAGAAGGCTAATAAGAAATTGATTTGTATTAGAAATGGGAGGATTTCTGTTCGCTCTGTGATTTTTTCCCTAATTTTTTCTGTATTCGACGGTTTTCGTTTATTCGTAACAATTCAAAAACAACGTTTTTTTTTTTGGTTGACACCAGACGACGGTCAGTAAACAACAAATCCGTGCTTACAATAGGAGTAGATAGGTTCGCCTTCCCGGTCTTTTGAACAGGAGTAGAGGTTTATCCCTTGTTTTATGGTTAGGATTGGGCTTCTGTCTTCTTCTAAAGTCTACTTCAACTCTATACTTCTAACGTCTCCATATAAAACTCTGAACTCTTTATTTACTACTTAATTAATGGTTTCTTCAATAGGAGTAGATAGGTTCGTCTATCGTTCGGTTCATACTCCGCCCCTGGTCATTTAATCATGAGTAGAGGTTTATGCCTTGTTTAGGAATCGTAAAATAAAAATGCAATACAACTAAGGAATTATTTAATTAGAAAAGCTTTCAATTACCTGTATAAGTAACATTTATTAAGAACACTAGTATGTTAAGAAAAAATCGATGAAAAATGAATTTTTAAATGAATTGTTTTCAAATTTTTTATTTTAATTATAATTTATAATATAAAAATCTTTTATAATTCTGCTTTACTTTCATTCGCTTAGATGATATTTTTATTAAGTGAAAACTAAATTTACTAATCAAAAATTGAAAAGCTTAATAAAAATCATTTTGCACAAGGATTTTAAAAATGATTCTTACTTTTGTGTATAAAATATTATGTAACGTATCCATTTTGAAAGTATGGTCGACTATACACGACATTATCAGAAAATAATAGCGATGACTATATTAAATTCTAAGTCAACATTCCTAAAATTTGATTACGGAGAATATTTTCCAACTTTTTTAAGATTACTGAGTACTTAAAAGTTATATAAAAAAAGGCGCTTACGTCATTTTCTTAAATTATGCTTAACAGATAGGTCTCCGTAGATCAACCATCATTATGGCATGAACTGTCATCGCCTCGTCAATGACATGGCGATGTCGATTAAAAACACAGCTACTGTTCTGTTTTAAAAATAAATTTCTGTGTTATCTTAAATAGTACTTTTTAAATCAGATTAATTATACCTTAAATCAGCTAATATCTCTCAAATAAAGGTTCAGAAAAGTATATTTCATTTTTCGAAGATATTTTAAATACAGATTGCGATGAAAGACAATTTAAACAGTGCGTTAATCTGCTATTTAAAAAATAAAAATAAAAATCGATTCCAATCATTGACATTTCTATTTGAAATACACCAGAGTATTTTGCATACTGCAAATAGTAAATTTAATCATTTAGCTTTCAGTTAAAACTAAAATGAAAGCGCCAAGAAAGCTTTTTCTTTTAAAAAAATTCATTTTAAACCTTAGGTATCGAAAGTTAGCGGAGGTACCTATAGAAATCTTTTTTGATGCCAAAGCTATTCACGTAAATATCTACGGATCACCTGAAATGACATTTCCTGTAGTAGACACTTCAGAACGCAGCCTTTGTGTTAGACTGCAAAATTTTATGGTCAACTCTTTTATTATTAAATCTTTTCTTCCATAATTTAAAGTTATTTCGTCATTACTTTACCTAATATTTAACCGGTATTCACTGCTAACTACCCAAGTGCGGAAGCCATCATCGCCCTGTTATATGTAAATTAAGAGTGAAACTGAAGAAGACTAACACAGTACCCAAATAGCAATACAACAAATTCCTGAGCAACCGAAACCTGAAGGATAAATATATAAACAGTGTGAAAAGAAGATACTAGGGACACAATGAAAACTTGAAATGAAGTACAATAAGAGAAGCTTTAGTGACATCAGCAAACGATATCATCCCAAAGAAAAATGGACGAAGAAGAAAAACGAATGGATGACTTATGAGATCGTCGACATCATGGAAGGGAGACAGAAAACTCTGCCAAGATATGTAAAGGAATATAGAAAATTACACAATGAAATAAGGACGAAATGCAGGCAGGCTAAAGAGGAATGGCTAAACAAAAAATGTGCAGAAATAGAGAGGTCGAGTACCATGATACAAAGGAGATATGCATAAAGAAAAAAAACAACTAACAGGACAGAAGATATGCTCATCAAGAGGCTGCTTAAAATCAAAGGAAGGAACATATTAGAGAAGGAAAAAAATCTTCAACGTTGGAGTGAGTATATTGGAGAATTCTTCCACAACGTAAGAGAACAGCTAGCAATACACAGAACTACCGACGGACTGGAAATTCTGAAAAGCGAAATAGAAGCTGCACTGGCCAAATTGAACAGAAACAAGGCGGCTGGGCCAGACGGAATTGTAACGGAAATACTGACAGCCTTAGATGACTTTGGCATAGATAAGATCACAGAAATCAGAAATGAAATCTATAACAGTGGAGATATACCGGAAGATATCAACAGATCTATCTTCATAGCAATGCCTAATGAACCAAGCGCAAACGAATGTGAACTCCATCGAACAATCAGAGTAATGAGCCACATAACAAAACTCATCATCCAAATTCTGATGAATAGAGCGCGCATCTGTATCAGGGCAGAGGTAGGACAAGAACAGTGCGGGTTTGGTAAAGCCACTGGAACAAGGAAGGTGATATTCCTGTTCAGCATGTTATCAGAGAGAGAGCAACAAAAATGCAGAAGAACGTGTACTTATGTTTCATAGACCACGCAAAGGCCTTCGACAAAGTACGCCACAGATATCTGTTGAAATCGCTCAGCAACCTTCATATATTCGGGAAAGATATTAGAATAATCAAGAACCTATATTGGCAGCAAACAGCATGCATGCGCAGAGAGAACGAGTTCAGTGAATATACAAAAAAAGAAAGGGGCGTAAGGCAAGGATGTGTCTTCTCACCGGACCTTTTCAACATATACAGCGAGGCAATTCTGAGAGAATTGGTAATTCTACCTGGATTCAGCATTGGTGGCTACAGTCTTAACAACATAAGATATACAGATGACACAGTACTAATAGCAGACACGGAAAAGAAATGACAAAACCTACAGGTGGTAGCGAAGGACAGTGAGAAGAAGGGACTAAGCATAAACTATTAGGTTGGTGCAAAATAATGACGTAATAATGTCGTTTTTGACGTATTTTTTAACGTCAAAAACGACATTATTACGTCATTATTTTTGCACCAACCTAATACAAGAAGACAGAATGCATCGTCATCTGTAAAAGGATGAACGTGAAATGCGATTTGCAGGTCGGGAACACTAGAATCAAGCAGACGTGGAAGTTTAAATATCTGGGAAGCGTTCTGACAGAGAACGGTAAATGCGACACTGAGATCCGTAGACGTATTGGATGGCCAAGGACGCATTCCAAAAACTCTGCAGAATATTGCAAGACAGGAGGATTTCTTTGGTAACAAAGAAAAGAGTCCTGGCCTGTTACGTGATATCTGTTCTCCTTTTACGGCAGCGAATGTTGGACAGTCTCCTCAAAGATGAAGAAGAGACTCGAGGCGACAGAGATGTAATTCTACAGAAGGATGCTAAGGATATCATGGGTCGAACGTGTGAGCAACGATGAGGTCTTGGAAAGGATATTTGCTAATCGTCCCACGCGGTCAGATGTGGCACAAAGCCGAATTTAAAGTGGGGTATCCGAGCACGTAGGCTCGGGCAAAAATTTCACTTAGGCCCCGTAAAAAACGGAGCCGGATCGCTGTCTACCACGCAAGATAAGACTTTGCCCTTCGGCATAGCCTCGTCTGCGTTCCTCTCCGCCCGAAGGCATAGAGTTCGACCAGCTTAGACGAATCTCCAACTAATTGCCGATGAAAAAAAGGAGGAGGCTTATACTTAACATAAGGTAGAGGCAGATGAAATTTCTGGGACACGTAATGAGAATGAAGGGCCTAGAAAATCTGATACTCACAGGTCGAATAGAGGGGAAAAGAGACAAGGGAAAGCAACGCATGACGTACCTGGTGAGCTTAAGCAAGTGGATGACAGCCTGGGGGAAGTAGCAAAGGGATACAAATTATTGAGAGCTACAAGAGGTAGAGGAAGCGGAGAGCCATGATCGCTTACGTCTTGAAAGGACGAAGCACATAAAAAGAAAGATACAGATTTTGTATATCGTCCATGTCTAACGCCATAGACTTTTGTGTTTTCATTATGTCACTTGCTTAAAAATTTTCGTCGATCAATTTGAATTATTAATACAATGTTTGCCAACAATATCTTATTGAGAAAAAAAAATGAGTAAAACCTTGTTTTTCATGAATGTACAGGCGTAGCGGTTGCTTAACAACCGAAAGGCCTGATGGTGTACTTTCGTAACTTCATTAAATATATAGGCATTAATGTGTTTCCACAGATGAAAAAACATTGATAGGCTGTTTTGTCGTTTAAACAACAAAATAAAATATGTTATTTGTTGAAATTTATTAAAATTTCTTTTAATTCTTTTTATTCTTTATTAAGAAAATATTTCGTCAACGAATGGTTAACGATTATTGCCACCTGGTGGTGATTGTTCGTAGACAGAATGCTATTAATTAGTTATTGTTAAGAATATATATATATATATATATATATATATATATATATATATATATATATATATATATATATTTAAACCTAGAGAGCCAGACAAACCTACCAAGGTTTCACCCAAGCGGATCGTCAGGAAGACCGGCCGGTAGATTGATCTAGCTCTTTAGGTTTAACTAGTCTGCTCCACTCATTGTATTGAGCACTTTATTTAGTTATTTCGCGTACTCGCATCGGGTTTTTTTTTTTTCTTTGGGCTTGCA